TGCAAAAAATGCAATTCTATATGTAATGCAATGCACTTTCAACAAAATTTTGATAATTGGACTAGCGGTAATAATGATATTGATAATTTTATTCAAGATACTCAGCTATCAGAACATGCATTCTATGAAGTAAAAAATACATTAGAATGGATACCTTATGATAGATTGTATAATATAAAATATATTACAAAAGATGAGTTTGGTAAAGTATATAGAGCAAATTGGATTGATGGATTTATAAGTTATTGGGATTCTAAAAATCAAAATTGGGAAAGAGAAGGTCACAATATGTTTGTGAAATTGAAGAGTTTGAATACTCCGAAAAATTTTACATTAGAATTTACACAAAAGGTATAATAAGATTATTTAGTAATATTTTAAATATATTGTTTTTTTTTAATATATTATTACATTTTGTAGATTATAAAAGGACATAGATTTTATGGGATAACTCAGGATCCGGAAACAAAAAATTATGTGGTAGTTTTGGGTGATAGATGTAAAAAATGTTATTATGCATGTAACACAATACATTTTCAACAAAATTTCGAAAATTGGACAAGCGGCAATAACGATATTGATAAATATATTCAAAAAACTCAGCTATCGGCTCATAAAAATAGTGAAATTTTAAATGCATTAGAATGGATACCTTATGATAAATTAGTTGAGATTAAATATATTGTAGAAGGCAAGTTTAGAGCAAATTGGATTGATGGGTACATAAATAAATGGGATGATTATAATCAAATTTGGAATAGAAAAGGCCATAATATGTTAGTCATTCTGAAAAGTTTAAGCAGTAATTTAGAAGATATTACATCAGAATTTATAAATGAGGTATAATAAATTATAATATTTAATGAAATTTTAATAATTTTATCACTTACTAATGGTTTAATTTGTTTTTACGTTTGTAGATTAAAGCACTCCATAAGGTCTACGGAATAACTCAAGATCCGAAAATTGGAAATTATATGATGGTTTTGTGTTATATATGTGAAAAATGTAACTATACATGTGTTGCAACACGTTTTCAAAAAAATTTTGAAAATTGGACCAGTGGTAACCATGATATTGATAAATTTATTCAAGATGCTCAGCTATCAGTACATTCTGATTATGAAGCATCAAGAGCAATAGAATGGATACCTTATCATAGATTTAACGATATTACATATATTGCAAAAGGCGGGTTTGGCAAAATATATAGAGCAAGTTGGATTGATGGATATATATGGTATTGGGATATTAAAGAACAAAATTGGAGAAGAAAAGATCAATATAAATTCGTTGCTCTGAAGAGTTTAAATAATTCAGAAAATGTTACATTAGAATTCATGAACGAGGTAGTAACTTGTTATTTCTAAGTTTTTACAATTTGAATTTTTTACTAACGTATTTTATTTGATTTATTTGATTGTAGATTACATCACATTACAAAGTAAATGAACTACTAAATTCTGTTATTAAATTTTACGGAATAACTCAAAATCCAGAAACGAAAGATTATATAATGGTAATGCATTTTGTAGAAAATGGAAATTTACGAAAGTTTTTAAATGAAAGTTATTGCAAATTAAATTGGTATGATAAGCTTAATTGCTTATGGATCATTGCATATGGACTTAATCTTATTCATAGGAACGAATTGGTTCATCGAGATTTACATATTAGTAATATACTTTATGAGAACTGTGCACATATTTATATAACTGATATGGGATTATGTAAACCTGCCAACTACAATGCATCGGAAAATGCAATAAACAGTATATATGGCAACTTATCCTATATAGCTCCTGAAATACTGCGAGGACAAAATTATACCAAAGCCGCTGATGTTTATAGTTTTGGTATAATTATGTATGAGGTAATTTCTGGATTGCCTCCATATAATGACATAAGTCATGATATAAATTTATCAATAAGAATTTGTAATGGACATAGACCAAGGTTTAACATGAAAGTACCTCAATTAATTGTGCATTTAATTAAAAGATGCTTAGATGCAAACCCATTAAATCGACCGACAGCAAATGAAATTTACAAAGTATTACGTAAGTGGCATGATGAGCGAGATGATAAAAATACAGAATTACAAAGGCAAGTTGAAGAAGCAGATGAAATAAACAAAAATCTATCAGTTAGCATAGTACCTTCAACAAGTTTAAGATTATCATATAATACACATTCAGAAGCTGTTTACTCGAGCAGATTACTTAGTTATAATAATCTTCCTGAACCAAAAAATTCTGATGATTATTATAAACAAAATGATAATATAATAAGCACGGAATTTTCAGGTATTGATTATAGAAAAATTATTCAAATTAGTTGTGAAAAGAAATTACTAATAAAATTTTTAAGTAGATTCCTTGCAAATTGATATTTCTCGATTGAAAATTAATGATAATACAATAAATGTAGAAAATCCAGAACATACAGAATACACAGGTATTGATTAATTTTATCACTAAATATATTAAATATATTAAATGTATTCAAATTATATACAACAATACTAATAAAATTTTAATCCATTAAATAGAATCCTTACAAATTAATATTATTCCGGATGATTGATCTGGGAACTTAAATCAGAGGACTTTAGAAATAATTTTGAACAAGAATCACTCAAGAACCATATTTTCTTTCAATTGTATATTTCTTATTTCGTTTATTAATTCTATTTCATTTTATTATATTGTTATATTTAGTATATAAAGTTTTGAATGTATTTATCTGTATATACCAGTATACCTGATTTTTAAAATATTATATAAGTTTATTTTTTCTATCATTTATTCAACGTTAGTTTTTTTAATAAATTTTGTTGATTTGTTATTTTATTGACTAAATACACCAAATACATAAAAAAAATTCTTAAATTTATTATCAAATTGAATTGTAAATATTTCAAAGAGCTTATTTGTTATATACATAAATTTTTTATAATTGGCATGACAGATTCGATTTTAATTTCGGGAAAAGGTATAGTCTACTCGCTTTATAACGAAATGAGTGGTTTGGCCAATCAGGCCTTCGTTAATATTGCGGCAAATTATATAATACTTATATTATGGATAACGCATGTCACACAAAATATCTTCGTTAAATTAAATAATAATTCGTTCAGTTATAAAAAAAATCCGATATAATAAGAGAGAGCCATTTTATACTGGTTATAGACTTACTTCATTAAACGGTATACAGCATTTTACTAGTAATCTTCAGTATAACAAGATTTTTTATATGAACAACACCAAAGGTTCGCTAATATTAAGAAATTCATTAAATCAAAATTCGTTGTAAAGCGAGTGGACTGTAACTTAATCAGAATTAATATACAGTAAATAAGTAGCCACGCTTTATTCCTGTATTTATATTTCTGAGATGAATATCGTACTATGTTCTACATAACGATCGCCAGATATTTTATAGAAATGATTTTTTTATTTTCACCAGTACATTCTCGAACGTGATCACTCTATCATTATTTCTTCGAGTAGGGAGAATTGATCTGATCAAGTGGTAGGAGGCAGCATTCCCTATAAAAAATTTTTTAGAAAATTGATCACATATCGGAGCTTTTTTGGAATGAAAACTAGAAAAACGATCATTTATCGTAATTTTCCCAGAAAATTTTTTATAGGGATTCTTTCCAAAGGACTGTAAGGCAATTAGGTTAGGGTGCTTGGAGTTGATTTATAGTCAAGTTTTCAAACAATAATTTGTTAAGTTTCTGACAGTTTCAGTGTTTTATTTCCGTTCTACGCACTAAAAAACAGAATAAATGAATAAATGAATATATACCGCATTTCACCCTTTATTTTTGTTAAATATTGAATCAATTAAAAAATCGAAAATTATATGTAAATATGAATAAAAATTATGTAAATTAATTGATGTACAAAGATAAAACTGTAAAGTTACTTTTATATCAAGAGGAAATAAAATGTTTGACAAACTTCTTGAATAATTACTTAATTAAACATGCAGATACTATCTGATATTCGAGCATTAATTGGGTGTCTTTAAGAGATTTCTTTCATAAATTACCTTGTGAATTTTAGAAATTAATAAAATTAATACTATTAAATTCATAAATTGGAATGCTTTAAATTTAGAGAATTATTTGTTAAATCTAAAACTCAACGGCGAAGTTCCATCTGAAGTTTAATTAAAATCATAAATGTTGAAATTAATATACACTATGGTGCTCTTCATGTTAAAATGCTTATTTAAATAATTTATCAAAACTCTTAAATATTAGCCATTTTAAACTTATATATGTGGTTATATCTTTAGAAGTAGCAATTAGGAAATTCAACCAAAAAATATAAAGCAAAAATTAAAATATGTTTTATTAGTTTTGCAAATATTCATGAAGGTTTGAATGGGTTAAAATTCAATTTCAAAAATTTCATTGAATAATTATGCTTATATTCCTTTATTTGGTGTGTCATTTACAAATAACATTTAATTTTTCCATGAAAATAAATAAATTGATTACTAATTCAATTTTTCGTTTAACATACAGTTTTCAGAAAAATGGAAGAAAAAAATACATATAATTTAGGCCAGATTGCCAAAATTACAAATTTTGGCGAGGATTATACTGTTATAAATCACATGACTTGATTGACCATATTTTCACATGCTGTAGATTTTTACTGTACCTCGGGAAAAAACATTAAACTATAAAAGGTATAATAAATTATATCGCGCATATTTCCTAATCGACTGAACAATACCAACATTTATTAATGGTTACATTACATGTGAATTTACAACTTCAAAGAATGAAAAAAATTAGATTCACGGAATTATTTACGAGATAACGGAAATATTCGGTTATAAGGTATTGATGTGGACCAATCTTTATTAAACACATATATTTTCACTATGCAATATGCATTATTATGAGAACATATGACAAATTGTTTAGCTAAATATAGTATTATTAATGATACTTGTATTTCCCTATAAAAAAATTTATTCTTAAATGTATCATATTCACGGAGTTTTTTACAGAAATTCTGAATAAAATTTTTTACAGGGTTTACTCTTGTCCAATGTTGAAGCTTAACAAAGACGTACTTATCTTAATAGCAGAAAATTTGCAAGATGACATAACGTCGCTTTGTTCATGTCTTTTGGTTAACAAATCTTGGTGTGAGGCGACTGTGCCAATATTATGGAAAATTCCTGGACGAATGATTTTAACTAAAAAAGCAGAGGATAAATTATTTAATGTAATACTTTTACATTTATCAAAAGACTCAAAAGATATTCTGAAAAAACAAGGGATTGATCTTTATATAGAAACTTATCGACCAACTTCATTTAATTATATTAATTTCTGGAGACATTTAGATTTACAACTTTTGGAAGAGACATTTTCCAGAAATTTAAAAATTTTAGAAGTATCAACCAGTTCTATGATAAAAAACGAATTATTAAATTTATTTATCAATAAATATACAAAATTTATTTCACTTCATATCCCAGAAAATATTAATTATTATAAATATCGTATTTCATGGAATGAACAATGCTTTTCAGATCTTAAAAATTTATGTTGTCATGAATTTCATCAAAACAGTTTGGAAGGATTAGCTACAATAAGCAAATCAATTAAAAAACTCTTTTGTTGTATTTCAAGGGATAATAATGATATTTCTAGAATTGTTAAATTAATTGAAGCTCAGAAAAACTTGAATGAAATCCATATGCTTTGTAATAATGATGAAGCATTGAAAACTATTGAGGAATTACTTATTAAAAAAGCAGATACCATCCAACATTTACGTTTAGACTGGGAACCTGTTACAAAAGTTCTTTCACATTTAGTAAATTTAAAAATTCTAGATATGGAAACACCTTTCTTTTTTCGACGATCTAAAAATTATGAAAACCCAAATTTGAATCAATTGGAGGAAACATCATTACCTGCTTTAAAAATCTTAAAAGCTAATTTGTCCTCACATATAAACTTGATAAGATTAATTGAAACCTCAAACGTACAACTTACTACAATTAGTATTCGTCATGATTCGTTAAAAGTATTTGATGAAATTAGAAAACTTACACAAACAATATATCAAAATTGTCCAAATCTTAGGTATATTAAGCTGCCAATTAAAGATTATGCTCTTACTGAATTTGAAAGATTGTTAGCTAATTCTCAATATTTAGATGGATTAGTTATTGATTATGAAATAGGCTTTGATTATAAGGATGTATTTGAAATATTAACTAGATCATCACCATTAAATTTGTATAAATTTAAATTTATTTTTACAGAAAAATTTAGACTGAATTTTAAATTATTAGAATCATTTCTTATTAATTGGAATGATAGACAACCTATGCTATTACAAATCTCCCTAGTTAATTTTATAGATAAACATCAATGGTATATGAAACGATTGAACTCACTAATTAAAAAATATGAAACGAAAGGAATTATTAAAAAATTTGATCTTAATTGGTATCATAAATTTGAAGAATTTGAATGGGTTCAAGATGTAACACAATTTTATTCTTTGCCTAATATCTGAAGATCAAAGGATTTATTCTTATTATATGTAATTATGGTTAAAGTAATAAAAAATTTATTAAATATAAATAAAACAACTATACTTTTATTTCAAAAAAAAAAAAAAGTTTTCTTATTGTTGTAATATTATGTACTTTTTTCGTAACCTTTTAATGTACTACTGTAGAAACAAACATAATTTTACGATATAATACAACTCGTTGATCTTATAAAGATTCTTTTAAAACAACAAAAAGTTGAACATCTAATACTACGAATAATACAAGTTTAAGATTTGCTTTTTAAAAATTAGGGCATGATCATAGATTGTAAAAACGTAACAGTTGGCGATTCTTTATAACGAAGGTTCCGCAACATTTAACACGTGATTAGAATCATGTAACACTCTTTCCATGGTGTAAAATGTAACGTGATTACCGTATCTTAATTGTAACTACAAAAAATTATACCAGACCTCAGAGGTTACAGGTTACGCTGTTTCTATCTTTAGAGAGTCTTTTAGAATTCAAAAAAAAAAAAATGATTTCCTTTCAAAGTCTGATATTATTTTATCATTTTTAAAAACTTTTTATTAATAATTATTATCATCATTATGATACCATGTTATGAAAATTTTGTTACTTTTTCTTGGATAGTATCCTGAAGTGGAGGTTACTGCCAAAGCTGGTTCAGTAAGTATATACAATAGATTTATAAAAAAAAATATTCCAAAAAGTCATGATGCGTCATCATATGACATTGTAGAAGTCACAATATATTGCGAGCATGCTTTTGAATTTCAAAAGTTATCTTTTTATTTCAAAGTTTAATTATTATTGAATATAAAAATCAAAACATTTTGAAAGAATACTTATAAAAATAATTTGACTAATAAATAATATAATTATGACTAATAATAATATAATTAATAGAAATAATATAAATATGATAAATAAAGAATAAAAATTACAGGAATGGATATAATGGATTCACGTCTTTCAACTATATCGATGGGATAATAACTTAATAACCAATTAACAGTCAAAATCCCAACTATCAACTTCGCCATGTATAGAACAGTAATGTTCGCCTTTGAAAGGACCTCGGCGTTTTTGTTTCTCAAAACTAGTTAAAACTTTCGCAACAATATAGTACTCTTGATCGCTAAATTCAATGTGGTTATAACTGACTGTATCACAAACACGGTAATGTCCTTTTCCATCACCAGCTATGCGCTTATGATTTGAATCTTCTATCCAAATTCTGCAAAAAGCACCCACATTCTCCAATATTGAGACCTTAGTTGCTATACATAAAACAAAAAAAGTCGAATTATTAGAAAAGAGAATGGAGAAAATACTGAATATGATAAGAACTATACCTTGGCTTTTAAGAACAAATAAACACATGAAAAAGACGGTAAGAAGGTAAAAGCTTTGAGGTTTCATATTGGTTTTAGATTTATGATGTTACGTTTTGTTATGACGATTCTGTAAAAAAAAAAAAAAAATTTGGTGGGAATGGCAAGATTATATATAATTCGGATAATCAAAGAATCAAAGGGGGATTATCCCAAATTTTTTTTTAAACCCATAAAAGCCATAAGTAAAATGATGAAAATGACAATTCTTGCCTACTGTATCTTCTTTTTAAAAAAAAATAATAATCTAAATATAAAAAAGAGATGCGAGATTTCATTTATTAGAAATTTATAAGGTAACAAACCTCACAAACCATTGTAACGTATTGTAATAATGTAATTTATTAGTATAATAGATAAGATGGTAGCCTATAATGGTTACGGTACATTTGTTGTAATTATTACGGCAGAAAAAAAAGGAAAAAATGATAAATTATCTAATTATTATAATTTAACGAGTGTTGGCAAACCATAATCCTGAAAGTGATCATTATTCCGATACTCATCATCCAAGACAATCATGTTAAAAAAAATATATGTATTTATAAAACTAGTGTAACCTGTTGTGTTGCAACAGGATAAATCAACATTAATGAAATTTCTGATGTTTATTTATAATTGAATTATAATATGAGTAAAAAATAAAATTTATTAAAATTTTACCAATTAAATAAGATAAATTATTTTAATATTATTCTTTTTTTATTATTAATTATTATAAGATTTAAAAAAAAATCATAAATTTTAATTTAAATCAAATTTTTAAAGGGCAGTTCTGTGAAAAAAGTCGATCCGTTTTTTATATTCCGTCTTTTTTCCGTAAAAGGCTCATATTTCCGGAATTAATAGTCTTATATCACGGAATTTATCAAGTTATTGAATGGATCCATGAAAGGCTCATTTTTACGGAGTTTTACAGAAATAACGGATAAAATTTTTTATAAGGTAGAGTAACCTCACTAATTGATTTTTACTCTGAAACTCGGATTTGCATCATGTGACAAACATAAGATCGGCAAAATATTTTACTTGCACTATTTGATTGTATCGTCATCAATATGGCACGTAAACGCGACGAACAGTCGCACGAAATAAAGAAAAAAAAAACGAAATAACAATATTCTTTTATTCTAATATTCAAAATAGTATACTTTAATTATTTATTAGTTGTATATTCAAAATAAGTAATAGTACATTTATTTTCTAAAGTATTGTATATAAAAAAAAAGATAATATCTTCCATAACTATACAAAAAATACGAACATTTAATGAAATTTTAAATTCTAAATCCTTTACCACCTACCAATAAAGCTTATAAAGTCTTTAATAGTGTTTAAACATTCAAATTTATGCTATAAATTATCTAAAAAAAAATAAATATAATTTAGAATTTTATAATTATAAATTATACATATACATTCATAGGATGTTATTAAATTAACCAAAAATATGGTAACCAATAATTTTCTCAAAAAATTTTTTAATAAAAAAGATCTTGTTTACTTAATTGGTCACCAGTGATTTTTTTGATGATATATTCATGCCTGTAATTTTTCTGATGATATTATTCATGCTCACGTGTTTTTATAGTTTATTTATACCTTTCCCACTCTTTCCCATCACTGGAACGTTAGTCTCCATGAGATAAAAGAGTTATTTCACGTGTCGCATAAATATCATGATTTTCACGGCGCATCCGTGAAAATCATTGATATTCATGACTCCCCATAAAATAACTATTACGAATTTTATCCTTTTATGTTAGGTATTACAGAGGTTAAAGAAGTATTGTACAGATTTTTTTGGACATTTCCTATAAGTGATTTTCATTAAGGAGAATTCTCTACCCTTAAAAAATGTACTTATTCAAACTAAAAAATCATACCAACCATATTTGTTTCAATATATATATTTATTTATATTGCCGATCCGAGAAAGAAATTATTTTAAAAAAAAAGGGAAGTACCGCCGATCTGATCATGCCTGTGTTATTTGCCTGAACATATCATTTCCCTGAAGTCAATTTCCCGATTGGCTATTTCCCGAACTGGACTGGATCATTTTTCTGAAAACTCCAAAGATGAAATAAATAATAATATACCTATACATATATAAGTTAATAAAAATAAAAAGAATATTAATAAATTATAAAGGGAAAAAAAAATCAGTTTTAAAAAAACCGGGGCGGTTTAAAATTCAGTTTCAGCTTTAAGAAAAAATTATTTAAATATCAGTTTTAAAAAAAAAACAGAAAAAAAAATATTACCATTGAAAAAAAAAAATTCAGCCTAAAAAAAAAACTTTGGTCCAAAAAAGAAACCAAAAAAAAATAAATATTTGGCCTAAAAAAAAAAGACCGAAAAAAGCTTTCTTTTTAAAATCATTCTGCTGCATCATTCATACTAAACTTTTTAGTTATATAGATGACAAATTTCATTCAATTTCAAACATTAACATGGATTATTATTAATTTTTAATGAGTTTAAAGAAATAATTTTTATACACTGGTCAAAATTTTAAAATTTTTAATTATTTATAACCGGGATTCTTATAGGTACCGTCGGAATCCTCTAATTTACGACATTTCGGCATTACGGTATTTACGGCATTTTAATTACGGCGTTACGGCATTTGCCGTAACCGTAAAAATAATTCCGATAACACCTATAGGGATTCTCATCATCGGATTAACTTATCACATTGTTTACCGATCCTTTTTTAATATAATAAAAACAATCTTTTATTTAAAAATTCTCCTTTTTTTGCAAATCTTTGGAGTATAAAAATACTGGTGTACAATATATTTTATATTACATAATAAAGGGTGCCATCCAAAATCCCGAAACTGAAATCCAAAATCCGACAGGTACGAAATCCCGACAGGTCAAAATCTTACAGAGCGACTTTCGGGAAGCATTAAAAGCTTAATGTGGGTCAATTTTTCGGGATTTCGTACCATACCCCATAATAAATTATATCTTTATAATAAATGATTTCAAAATTCCGTATAGCCCGAACCTAAAAAAAAAAAAGAAAAGCAAACATTAAAAAAATAAAATAATAAAATTTAGAAGTTCTTTTAACCTTCAAAATGCCCTGGTCCGCTTCGAATATCTATTAATTTTGAAAAATGGGTTTTTCTTCAGCTTTATGTTTACTATCAACTAGTTTATATCTAATAGTGATATAGTAGTTTTATAGCACTTGAAGTGCTAAAGATTTGATTTTAAATATGCATGTTTGGGCACGAATTAAAAATTTGATCGATTTAAAATTCTTATTGCATAATAATTCTTCAATATAGTGTATATGAAAGTAAAGCAATTGAGATAAGATTTGTTTATCACCGTATAATTACTCTATTCTTTAATAAATTTCCATTTAACAATTACCCGTATTTGCCCGAAAATAAGCAACAAGTTTTTGCACATAATGCCGGCCAAGTTTAAATAATGTGGGCCAAAATTTGTTATAATGCGGGCCATGTTGCTTATTTTCGGTGATTGCTTATTTTCGGGCAAATACGGTATTTTTTATATAAAGATGTCGACTAAAACTTAACCTTCCTTGAATGAAAGAATTAGTTTAACTCCATATGCTGGTTGTGGCCTGAATTGCAAGTAGATTTTAGTTATTCAAATCATTGTTTGCGAGTTAAACCAATTTATCTATGTAACTTATAAAGAATTATTTCATAAAACAAACATTCTGCTAAGGGGCGTAAGCAACCGGATTTGCAGGGTTACACGTGACTTCGGACAAATCACAAAATCATATTATTGTCTGGAGTTATGCCATCTACGTCATCCTTATTCGCCTCCTGCATTTCCTTTTTAGTAAATATAATTAGTAATTACTCATCGGTCAAATAAAAGTTAGTTACGCGAAAAAAATGACTCATGGGTTTTGTCATGAGTATAATTTAAAGGAAATAATATAAATATGTCGGTTTTCTTTATTTTTTTTTTTCTGTCTTCTTTTTTTTAGGTCTGTTTCCTCTCTATCTAAATCTTCTCCTTATTCTCTTTATTCTTAGGCTCTTCCTTTAGATATGTGTTGTTGTGTGTAGGTTTGTGTGTTCGTTTTCCTTTTTCCCTTCGTTTTCCCTTTCCCTTTCGCGTTCCCTTTCCCTTTCGTTTCCCTTTCCCTTTCGTATTCCCCTTTCCCTTTCGTTTCCCTTTCCTTTCGTATTCCCTTTTCCCTTCATATTCCCCTTTCCCTTTCGTTTTCCCCTTTCCTTTTCGTTTCCTTTCCCTTTCGTATTCCCCTTTCCCTTTTTCCCTTTCGCGTTCCCCTTTCCCTTCCGTGTTCCCCTTTCCTTTCGTTTTCCCCTTTTCCTTTCGTTTCCCTTTCCCTTTCGTATTCCCCTTTCCCTTTCGTTTTCCCTTTTCCTTTCGTTTTCCCTTTCCCTTCCCTTTTCCTTTCGTATTCCCCTTTCCCTTCACATTCCCCTTTCTCTTTCGTTTTCCCTTTCCTTTTCGCGTTCCCCTTTCCCTTTCGTTTCCCTTTCCTTGCGTTTTTCCTTTCCCTTTCGTTTTCCCCTTTCCCTTTCGTTTCCCTTTCCCTTTCGTTTCCCTTTCCCTTTCGTATTCCCCTTTCCCTTCATATTCCCTTTTCCCTTTCGTTTTCTCCTTTCCCTTTCGTTTTCCCTTTCCCTTTCGCGTTCCCCTTTCCCTTTCGTTTCCCTTTCCTTACGTTTTTCCCTTTCCCTTTCGTTTTCCTTTCCTTTTCGCGTTCCCCTTTCCCTTTCGTTTCCCCTTTCCCCCCTGATCAATGTTGCTGCACCTCAACGTGGTGATCAGGTGACAACAACTTTTTTAAAAAGACTTGGCTAAGTCAGCAACAAATACTTTACTAATTTATTAAATTGATTTCATATAAATATAGCTAATAAATAATTTATATATCTAATTTATGACTATTTGTTTTTGAATTATTGTGCAAAGTCTTAGGACTAACACATTGAAGGAATTTTTAACATTCAAATTTAAGGACTTTAATGGTTACCGTTTTCCTAGTATTCAATAGAATTTAATCAATTTATAACAAATTTGAAATTATGATTCCAATTTTTAAATTATAAAAAATATTAATTACTAAATTTCCTTCAAAAACTACGTAGTACTTATTTTAGAAGAATATTAAATTTGTCAAAATTGAGTTTATTTGATTATGCGGATTTCATTCATTTTGTTATCTGCTGTTATATTACTTATTTCAATATTTTAATATTTTATGAAATAATTTTTGGAAAATTTATTAAAAAATCAACTTTTTTTGTATGATTTTTTCTATTTATTAATTCATTTTAAAATTCTTTTAATTTATATATAATTTCAAGTATAGCTCTAAATCTTAAATTGATCATTAGTTGACTTTTTAGGATTTATCTTATATTGTTTTTTCTTCGACATATTTCAAGTTTTTGATAAAGAATATTTGAAATGGAAAAATAAATTACATATTCTAAAATTATATTTTATTGAAAAACAATAAATCGGATTTTGAAATGAATTCAAATAATAAATTTCTTGTAGAGGAATTTTTAGATTTAAAGTTTACTGTAGCGAAACAATCAAGTTTTCGGTCTCTTTTTGATTAAATAATTTTGAAATATATGGCAAATTCCATTATTTTTGGTTATAACTTGGTTTACTTCCTTAATTAGACAGTTTATAATATTCTCACCATCAACAACTACTCAATCTTGGTAAAATTTTTTTCAGTTAATCTTTGGGTTATCTTTCTAATATGAAGAATCTCTATAATGTATGTATTGTAGTTATCTTGTATATCTGTTATGTATTCTCCTCTGTTCTTGTCATTATAATAAAAATAAAATAAATAAATATCGAATTGCTTTGTTAAATGAAAGCGAAAGTAAAGGACAGTTTAGCGACTGTTTAACGCCAGCACTTTTTTATGAAATTTTTTCTTTTCTAAAGAAAATGGATAATAATATATCCAAATTATATCTGGTTTGAGTTTATGAAGCTTCTTGACTCTGTTGGAAGAATTATCATATTGTTATTATGTGATCTGCTAATTTCTCCCAAGTTCCTATTGGACGAGCCAGAATAATGACCTATACTTTTTTATCCTTGATTCCTCCCCACTTTGTGAAGCTTCCAAACACTTTCCCAAGCACCTGAACTTCTTATACTTCATTGACCTTGCATTTATAGTTTAATAAGGATGATTTTGAGCTGGACAGCACATTATGCAACACCTTTTACAAAATCACCCTTTTTTTCCTAACCTCTGTAACTAACCATTGCTGATAGACACAAATCAATTGCAAAATATATGGAAATAAACACGATTACTGTCTTTAGCATCTTTGCCAGACTTCTTTAAACTCATTTGTGATCGTCGTGATTTGTGTAAACATTGTTATCTGGAGAATAAACGGTAAGAGGTAGGTATAACAAATTTATATACTTATCAGTTATAAAACCTTTTAATTAATTTAGTTTGTTATGATTCTTCTAACAAATATTTGGATTTAAATGCAATTAGAAATTTTAAATGTCTACTAATAAACTTAATAAATTACTTCTAGAAAAGTCAATAAATATATAATACTCTGATGACGACAAAATCTTTGGATGAAATGGTTATTTTTTCGAGAAGAAATCGTAAAATTTAGAAACTTATATCACGGTTATGAACTTATACTTGAATCAATTATGTAGATTTTATAATGTATTTTGCTTGGCTTCTAAAATTTTCAAATGAAATGATTTTATACAGAATTTATAAAAATTAGAAAAAAAGAATATAAAATCTAATTAAAATTATTTTAAATCGAGTTATGTTTACAGTATTTCGAAAGTGGATGACAATATAACAACTGTCAATCAATCTGTTAATCAAGATTGTTCAATTGCGAAAGATTTAATGATTTCCCAAAAAATAATTTGACACTACTGTATCTAACATCATCTTACATAAAAATATAAAAATGTCATTTACACGTCCAAAATGTAAAATCTGAAACTTTGATTATATCAATGAATCTATTTAATATGATGTATATAGTTTGATTGATGCATCTCAAAAGACAAAACGTGTTCATAACGTGATCACTAATGATCCACATGGCACGTTATTATCCCTCATATGTTATTGGTTATTTTAAAATGACCAAATAACCTACTAATAAAAATCCTGAAATAATTGATTCGGTACTTTATTTAACTAATAATTATATTTTGATTAAATATAATCCGTGAGAATATTAAGAAAAAAAAATCATGAAATAATTTGGGATACTATTGAATACAAATATTCTAAAAATACCAAAAATGGATAATTAAATGACTTAAAATGACATTATAAATGTGAGCTTTTTTCAAAAAAAAAATTTGTTACAATTTATTACATATTACTGTTATTTTTCTAAAAAAAAAAAAAAAAAAAAAAAAAATTTATACTTATTTTGGGTCAACGTCAGAGAGGTTAGTAAGATGAATAAATTCTTTTGTAAAATCGCCTGATTCCATATTTATTATTATTTTAATAATAAATCTACTCAAGATGACCAAATTAAAATATATTCTTATTTTACTAAGAATAAAGATCAAATATCCGTAGCGTTGACATATCTTCATTCCCTACAAACAGATAACGCTAATCTTAAATACTTGAAGACTTTTATTACGCCTGGTATATTCTGTGCTGTGTAACAAATTTTTTAATATTGTATACCATTACTATATTAACTGCCTTAGTTATATTTTGAATCATATCTCATTCTGGTAAAGAAAATGAAAATCAAGGTAATCATAATAATTAGTCAACACGTACATGAGTGCTTAACTTCTGTACCGTTGTCTGTTCGGTATTGACTTATTCGAAAATTTTTCTTTTAGTTATAGAAAACAGAGGATCTTCTGAAGACCTATATATTTTTGTAGATAATTCGAATTTCTTTATTGAGGCATCTAAATCTATCCGTCGAATGGAGAGTTTAGGCGAAAATATTAAAATTTTTATTGATTATGGATGACTCCTCCGAGCCATTCAAAAAAATCGCAATCTGGGACATCCTTCGACTATCATTGGCTCTCGACCAACATATCTTGACTCACTATGGGATCGCATTAGGAAAGATGGATATGATATACATATATATGATAAAGTTATTTATGAGAATGATACTAAAAAAGAAAAAATGACCGATAATGCAATGGGATTTCACATAGATTAAATTATTTTCACAAAAACTCCCGCAAAAATAGCCATTTTTCGGGAGATTGTGATTATTTCCGCAATATTCAGGGTGCATTACAACGAAAATGGAATGTGGAGATTTGGGCTTGGCATTCAAGTATAATCAATTTTCATGGTTACGTCTCAAATCTGCTTCTAAAAACCTGTACTTCTTTTTACTAAATAGATGACAAATTCAATATATTTCCAGGAGTGCCATATCGTGTGAAAAGACCGTTTCTTCATACAACTTTCATACCACTTGACAATTATTATAAAATTTTTTGGCTAACACCAAAGGAATGAAGGTTCTTCGGCTATCCGATGGTGATGATACGAAATTGGTATAATGATGACATAACGGATTGCTATAATTCATTGAGATTGTTCGGATGGTGGCACCGGTACCAACGAGGTATCTTTATTTCTATATTTTCGCAATAGAGAAGGAATGCTATATGCACAACAGTGGATACAGCAGAAGCATCCCGGTATTCGGATTAAGAAGAGGTAAGTTATTAAAAATTTAAAATACTTAATTGTTAATATTGACATCCCGTTTTATTTATTAATCTAAAAATAAACCCTATGTAGAATACGTGAATTAGGCCGGCGCAGCATATTTTAAATTTGATATTTGCAAAGTTATTTAGAAGATTTTATAAGAATTACATTAAATACCTGCAAATGTTATAACGTTATTTTTTTATTTTTAAACCTGTTTTATTTTTATCACAGGATTTATTTATTTCGTAGATTTATTTACGTTATAATAAAAGAGAATTTCTATTCTTAATTATTCGGCTACTTCTGCACTATTAATTTTTATTTTATTACCGTAGTACCTGGTGATAATTTGACACAAAATATTTAATTACTATACAAGAAGTGTTGTGATTTACGTATAAAACTGTATTAGAAAGTATCGTGAACGTCAATAATATCGATTATTTCACGTTATATAAACATCAATAAAATCTTTTCCGTTTAAATATCCAAAATAGTTTTTAGAAAATTATTGAACTCAAAACATTTTTAATTAATATTATCATAAAAAAAATGGTCAACTTAAATACACTTTTGAAAAGGTAAAAATCATAGTTTTTATTTTTACTTTTAACAATTCATTTGATTCGAATTAAAATAATTTAATTATATTTAAATTTTATATACAATTCTATAAAATCTATCACCAAATAAATAAATAAATAATAAAAATAATTATGTAAAAGTTTTTTTTTTTTTTTTAATCAAAATTTGCAAAAAAATCATGATTTTCAGACATTCTTAATAATGGATGAGCTTCAGTGTTGAAAACATAAGTATCTAACGATATCAAATCTGGTGGACTGAATAATAAGTATAGATATTTCAATGTTTCTGCCAAAAAGAAACTTTTTTTTTTTTAAATTAAAAAAAAAAGATGAATGAAATTATGATTAGACAAGTCACAATCTCATTTAATAATATATGCAACAATTAAACAATAATTTAGCTAAAAGAAAAAGGACATATTACCTTTCCATACCATCATTTTTAGCGGGCGGAATGGAATTCACGTCATGTAATCCTGAATAACCTGCAGGTGTCTTACACCATTTTTCTAGGGACTAATATTAATTGATGATGAATAAAGTTAAAATAATGCAAATTGTTTGTTTGATGATTGAGTCTAAATAATGCGAATGTTACATTACCTGCCAAATATCCCAACCTTGATCTTGATATTTCTTATCACCTGTTATTCTATACAAAATAAATAAACTCTCGATGGTTTCTAAAATTTAATAATAATTAGTAATCTTTAGGATTATTATAATTTAATTTCGATTTTATCACTCACCAGGTCTTAGTAAAGAATAACTTGGACTCAACCTATAAATCCCATCTGGTAAACGTTTGTGGATCTCATTATTTGTTGTATTTTTTTCTTCTACAACTTTGAACCAAACTTCTTCCCCTCCGATTCCAGTACTTGTCATTCTATTCAAGAAATAACATGTTTCTGCTAATCTTTTTGCAGTTTCGAGGTCTTTTGGACGATTAAGAAATTTTGATCCTAGAGCTAATAATCCAGGAACAAAACATGACTTATATTACGTTAAAAGAAAATAAATATTAATAGATTATAAAGAAATGGTAACGACTAATTCACTTAAAAAAAAAAAAACAAAGATTACCAAATGGCCCATTTTTCCGACAAAATAACCGTTAATAGATAATTCTCCAAGAAATAATAATTCCGGACGGTCATTTATTGGGCTTTCTTTAATCAAATATTTATACATACTTTCAACTGATTCGATATCTTCAAAAATTAAATCAAAGGTTTGATATAAACTTGATCATATTTCGAATAATAATAACGAAAATAAATCACTTACACATCCTTCGATATTTATCAAGTGCATCTCCTACCAGTATAAATTCTTTGAGAAGATACTATTAAAATGAAAAATTAGTTAATACGTTGTAGGAACGACCGACCATCATATGATAGACTTGAAATACCTCATAAAAACTGTCTCCATTAGCTCCAAATGATACTGCATCTAGTATAGAAAATTACAAAAGAAAATTGAGTTAGTAATGTACACAAAGAGAGGATAAAAAAAAATATAGTCATAAAATAATTCTTTCTTACCGTTTATAAAATTTCCGGTCGCTAATGATATAAATAGCAATGAATAAATGGATTTCAACTTAATTTTTAAAAGATTAATTTTGCTCTAACCTTGATCAATTTTTATAGGATACAATCCTGGAATTGTTTTATTTGCATTGGAAATAACTTTGGTAATATTATTAGCCTTTGTACGAAGAAAATTGACAGTTATTATATTATTCAGTATAACAAAACGAATGAATATTTAACAAAATCACTTAATAAATCACTTACTATAAAGAAAAATTCATTATCGCCCGATAACTGTGATAATTTTGTAAATTCCAAACATAAAGTTCCTACTTCAGCCAATAGGCCACCTCCATAAGGAGGATGTTGAACCCTTAAATCTCTATAATTATTAATAAATTCAATATTAGCGTATTTTTTAGTAATTATTAAATGTATGTATAATTGAAATACTTACGGGTTTAAATGTACACTATTATAGGGTAATCCAGTATCATTATTAAATGCATATAGCAAAGCCTCTCCTAATTCCTTTGCTTTCTCTAGAAAAATATGATCATCTGATAATTCAAAAGCACTTAACAAACCACCTAAATATCTAATTATAGTCTCAAATACGTTTGTTCCATCATTGCTATTTGTAAAATTCAACTTGCTCACAAACTCTCTAGATGCATTAAATTCATCCTTTAAATCCATTATCCACAAGGTGTCTAAAGCATCAACAATTGTTGCACCCCACCCATTAAACTTATTTCTACCATTATTACTAACCGGACTTAGTTCATCATAACCCCATGCATATTTGGTATAACCACGCCAAGCATGAAGAAATCCATTTTTAACAGATTCACGACGTTGTTCTCTAATAGATTTTTCTTCAGCAGTTTCATTAAGGGGAAAGTCATATTGAATTTTAGGAAATTGAGATGTATTATTTTGTACCTTTTGCTTATCATTAAAAACATTTGTAAGTTCAAATTGATAATCTAAAACAATGAGTTGATAAGTTAACAATCCAATGGAAATTATTAAAATGATTGCATATAGTATGCGATTTTTAAGACGTGAAGGAATTTTATTTGTACATGATTTAGTAAAGTTCATGTTTATTAATACTAATATTTATTAAAAGTAAGGTTGTTGAAAAAAATTATTATTAAAAAAGCCAAAATTTCTTAAAGAGAAACGATTTGAAATTAAGAAAAAAAAAGGTCTTTCAAATTTGTAAAAAAAAAAGGCGAAAAAAAAGTATAAAGACTCAATGAATGAAGTTTTTTTATTGTAATTTCGGTAATTGTTGAGCTACACAAATGCTACACAAACATAATATTAGGAGTATTTTGTGATATGTAAATCACCTAAAGTAGTTACTTTACGGACGCATATCCGGGTTTTCACTACCAAAAAAAAAATTTTGTCCGACATAGATTAGGCCAAAGAAATAAAATTATTCGTTTCTCATGAAAAAAAATTGCTAAATTTGACCCGGCCGCCCGGAAAAAAAATTTATTTTCAAAAAAAAATTTTAGTCGTTTCCTAGAAGATGATTGGTTGATTTAATAAATTTTTTGCCCGGGTTACCGGGTGGAAAAAAAAATTATTTTTTTATGATTATGATTGGTCAAAACCAAAATCACATGACCAAATAAAATAAATTTTTTTATCTTTTCGCAACATTTACATGACCCGCCCGGTCATGAGAAACGAATAAATTTATTTACTTGGCCTTAGAAATAGCGCTAAAACCGAAATTTTTTGTTATTTAAAAAGGTTAATCTATAATATTTGATCATCAAATGATACCCTCGGATTATCCATTATTGGTCAGTTTTCTAGTGAGAGATCGTAGGAATATAAAATTTTCCTTTTTTTTTGCGTGTTACTATATTTACGTAGTTAATTTTTTTATGACAGGAACGAAGGATTTTCTTACTGTACAAAGTTTAGCGAATCGTGATTGTGTCTGGACATAATTTATTTTGATTTTAATCAGAACACAACTTATAATTATAATGTAATTTACAATAATACTTTGTTAGTTTGATATGCTATCAAAAATTTTTTCTGATTATTTTAACCATTGTTAAACGCAACTCTGTTACTGCGGAAACTGATAAATTTCGTAAATCATCCCATCACAAATATTGTATTATTTATTCGTTTTATTTTATTTCAAAAAGAGTGGTAATCGATATCTATTATATTAACAGCTATATGTACATAAAATTTATTTATTTATTTATTTTATTTTAAGGTAAGCCAGGAGAATACATTGATAATATTAAAGCTAATTAAAATTATAAAAACACACAATGTAGAATCGTCGCCCAATAAATCGAGCCCTGACTAGAATTATAGGAAAAACTATTCTGAAACCCAACCGAATCAAAATAGGAAAGGAAAAAACAATCGAACATAGTCTGCCGAACCGTATTTTTCTTTCAACCTAAAAGGCTGCCTCCTGTGAATACTGTGAGAGGAGGAGTGATTAACACTATTCAAGTTGTTAAAGAAGAAGAGAAAAAAAATGAAATCACGCTATATAAGCAGAAGTAAACTATGAAGAGAATGTTAGCTCAAAATTAAATCAGACTAATTACAACGATATAAAATTATATCTAATAAAACTATACTATAATATAAAAATTAAAAAAACTATGGTTACGGTCCATTTCTCTGGAAGTCTGCAATTTAACAGGGAACGGACGAGGAATTTTCAAAAATAAAGAACCTAACAACTGAATTATTCAGTGATAACGGGAGTTAACACAATTCCATCATCGGAAGTATTTAAGGCACGAATACGTTTCTTAGTATGAGAAGATTGGAGTAAATCTAAGTTATGATTAACATTGGCGACGCGTTTACATGGTCGCTGCTCGAAAGCCTTGGTGTCATCTGATGTATCGCCAGATAGTCGTTGAGTTAATGCTAAATCGAGGTGAGCATCTTCAATTAAAGACGATAATTTTTTACATTCGTTATTGAGGTTATCTATAGTCGAAACTTGAGATTTTATCTTTCTGTAATCATCATAACGATCCTGAAGTTTATTGAGGAGACGCTCATGACTTAGGCGTTGATCCACCTTATGAGGAGACGTATTCCAAAGTTTAGCATTGTCCAAGCGATCCAAACGCTCTTGTTCTCGTGCGAGTTGATTTTCCTTAAAGAATTTAATTTGTCGGATATGATCTTTCCATTTCTTACTTCCCACTTGTAAAGGCTTCCGTTGCGCCTTCTGTTTATTACTGAGGTGGTTATGAATATCACCATAGTAGACCGGATAATCAGGTATGTAGGGTATAAGATCAGGAGGAACCTTACTAACGTCAATCGGATGAGTAAGGACTGGTGTAGGAGGAATATAATTCCTATTAGCTTCGAAGAAACTGGTCATATCAACCTCTGGTACAGCAGGCGAAGTTTCCTTAAGGTGCGGAATGGGGAAATTATAAAATCCTTGAAGAGGGTAAGTAAATTTCTTCTTGTATTTGAGGTGCATTATTGGTTTAACGATATACTGTGATTCTGTTAAAAGGAAGGTACTACGTCTAGAGGCTAAAAGTTTTTCTTCCTTGGTGCTGGAAATACTATCTATGCCAGCTTTCTTAAAAACTCGTCGACGGTTGCGTTCAAAGCGTTTTTCCTGCCTTTTTTTGGAGCTACTATACCGATATTTAAATTCACTATAATATTTCCTATACATATAGTTTTGTGCTTTCTGAACCATATTTTCGAGACCGTTCGCACGATATTGCGTGGTAAAAGATGTACCTTGTCGATTGGAAAAGTTATTTTTTTTCCTACGTTTATTCCATCGATTAAATAAACGTCGTGCATGAAATGATTTTGAAGATAAGGCTGCGCCACTTTGTATATGTACATAAAAGTCACGGAATTATGAAATTACAATGAAAGTCACGTTACATTCTGATATAGAGAATTACGTGGTCGAATTTTTGACTCGATAAATTTTGGCTACTGTTTTTTTTCGTTACCTTTAAACTTATTTTCCCTTAAACGGTAATTAAAAAAAAATCATTAAACGCCAAAATCAGATGTAGGTATTTATTCTTTTTTTTTTATTTTAGTTTTTTGAAATTTGCAGCTAAATTTCTCTGCAAATCATTTAAGTAATATAAGTCAACGATTTCGTAGGACATGTTCATTTATAAAAATTCTGACGAAGAAACACAATTTGTTTCTGAATCGGAAAAAGTAAAAATCAGAGATGCAATGCGAAGATCAGGAACAACGAAAATAATCCAATCAGTATTATATCGTCCTTGTCATTCCTGGATTACGAAATATCAGTCTATAATTATGTCACAATTTTTAAAAGCAAATCCTACATCTTGATTATTTGTAATAGACTGGATATGATCTTTGTAAGAGGCTAAAAACATGAGGAAAAAACTAATTGTGACATGTTCATAGACCGATATGCATTTCAAAATATTTCCTATATTTGATTGCGAGAATTCTACCTGGGTGGAACATCAAGAATGAATCATTAGATAAGCGATGTTAAGTGAGCGAATAAGAGAGTATATTGAAGACAAGTGCTGATATATTTGATTTCTAGTTATTTAGATCACTGCGTTTTGTCAATGGATGGAGTCATATTTTTTTACACGGAGCAGAAGAAAAATGCGTATCAATAGTTCCAACTATCATTGTTAACGAATAAATATATAACCAGGGTTGGGATTTGTACATAAAATGAAATAACAGAGGAGTTAAACCTCTCTTATTCACTCTTCGTACAAATTCGGAGTTGTATGATCGTATCATTTCGTCGAATTTAATGATTAAGAAAATTGTATTATCAACATTTATCATCAGTTTTATTTGATTTTATTTTCCCTTTCGAAAAAAAATATGAGGATATAATTGTTTTCGTAATTTAACTTTCATCGGAATTAAAGATAAATTACAACAAATATCAATCGACGCGAAATCAGAGGAATATACGCAAATCAGTATCTGCGACTGTTTAAATTTTGATAAATATAAATATAGTTGTCACTAGACGTGCCTAAGAAAATATTCGTTTTTAATGTTGACATAATTTTTGGTTGAACATATTTTTTTATAACCAATTTTTTATGATATTGAAAAAAATAAAAGCAAGAAGGTTACATTCCAAGACTTTGAATCTACTTTCCTACATATTTCCAGTCATTGTGCAGGGACTAAAACATGATGTCCTAGGTATAGAATAAGGGACGCATTTATTTCACCGAAAATCGTCTTTAAGGGTCGTCTCACCGTTGTAAGAGCCGAAATTACCTAGTGAAATTATTAATTTTGGGCGCAGTATTATAATTAATTTTAGTGTATAAAATTTTTCTCCGTGTTTTAAATTACTGCGTCCGCGATGACGTTATACTAGTTTGGTATTTTTATTGGTTGATTGTTTTATTTGGGGTCGGGTAAGTCTGTGGGGAATGATCTACATTATCGTGACGAAGGGGTCGAAGGGCAGTAATAGTGAACGAATCATTTATATGATATTTAGAAATAGAAATTATTATTTTAATTGATTCTATTTTCTTTCTTGAATTTTTCATTTTATTATTTATCATTATTTTTATTATGAAACTCGGGAATTGTTATAATTTTTATTGAATTTAATATTGTAGCTTGTGGTGGCAAACGTCTTTATGACGGGCACAAGTTCTACACCGTCAATCAACTTACCGACAGCCATTTCACTGACAGGGATTTTGTCCGACATCGGTTTTTTTACGACGATCACCGAAAAATATTAATACAAAAAAATAGAAAAAATAGAAAAATAGATCAATATAAAACAATTTTTATTGTAAAATGTTATTTATTTAGCTGTTTTCTATATTTAACATATAATTTCATAATATTACTATAATTAAAGCTTATGTAATTAAATACTCATATATATCTTAGAAATTCCATAGCATAAATGAACTTATGTTTAAAGTTTTTAATACATAAAATGAATAAAATATAAATTAATTAAAATGAAATATTGTGAGTTATTCCTCGAAGAAAGCCCAATAATGGTCTTCTTTATTAGAGAATTTTGTCATCTCACTTTATTTATATGAGTGGTAAAGGACGATTCAAATAATAAATAAAAAAATTAACATTTTGTTATAAAATTTTCTTTTATGTGTATATTAATTAATAAATTCTACACAATAAATAATTTCACTAATAATTGTGGCTATGTTATTTTCAAAAACTATTAAATATTTTATAATTAATAATTGTGGCTATGTTATCAATTATCAAATGTGAAATGATTTTCGGTGAGATGATTTTCGGTGAAATATACCGAACCCGTTGAATAAACCTTGTAAGACCTGACTATTACCAAGAATAAGGGTATGGAATTTTCTTTTTAGAAATCGGACATGATCATAGACTGACGCATCAAACCAAATAACAGAAAGTTAACTGAACCGAACCGATTACATCCTTAGTTCAGAGTTAAATTTAGCAGGTTCTATCCTTTTCACGAAATGTCAGGTGGTAATTTTATTTATTCTATTTTTTTTAAAAAAAATAATGGAATTGTAGCACAAATTTTAATTTTTTTAAAAAAATAATATAGGCGAGAAGTTACTGTATGTCAGAAAAATTTATAAATTATAATACACTAAAAAAGAAATAAAGTATCTAAAATTACAGTAAATCAAAAAATGCGTAAAAATAAAATAAAAATTATTACATTTAAAATTAAATTTAAATTCAAATTTCGGCCAGAATTAACGAAATTTTGGCCAGAATTAATAAAAATCCAGGTGGTCCAAATCCGGATCCGGTCCCAGATTCCGGGTCACCTCTAAGCAAGAATTTTTTCGAATATCTACTGCGCATTTTTTCAGGTGATCTGTCTCGCTCTATGCTTTCACATTTACTATTGGGGGATTTTATTTGATAAGCCTTCTAGCATTCAAGACGATAAGTTTGTTTTCCATAATATGCAGAGAATGTGATCACCTTTATGAAATCATAATTTTATCATATAAGCCACGTACAACATATTAAGTTATTGTAAGCCCACTTAAAGTTTTAAAGTTTTAGTCATAATCAGATGACAATTAAAAATGAATCATGCACAATCATATGCTATTAAAGCCTTTTCGATCAATAAACTCTAAATTTATATATACTCTTAGGAATAGTGATGAATTCCGTTAAGTTGACAAGGGTTTAACAACTAGTACTATGAAGCTGATGTTGTGCTCCTTGGACCTCAAATGCAATTCAATGATATCAGAAAAAGGAATCAAGTTCTAATCCTTCCATAAAATATGGCCGATATTCAACCACAAGATCCAGTATCTGGGCTATTAGAATACATTTTTCCTAAAAATTTGCGATTTTTCTTAGATTCTAATTCTTTTATAAGTCATCTATATCCCGTTCCAATGTCACAACTCTAGCTCTAAATTCAGTGTTCTCAGCTGAAATATCTGTGCTATTTTTCCTCTTTCTATCAGGTTCTTCATCTGAATATGTCCTATCCCATAACCCGCATGAACTCGACCCGACCCGTTGAGTCAGTTTTATTATATTTTTAACTAAAAATTTCAATTTTTTTATATTAAATACAACTTGACAGGCTGAACCCAGGTTATCTGAGTCAGACTATAGTCAGGTCAAGTCGAATCTGAGTCATTACTTTTACACTCAGGTCGAGTTCGAATACACCCCAAAACCTGACCTGACTCGACCCTTTAGAACATTAATCGCACCCAAAATCTTCTTCACGCCATTACATAATGTTTGAGGCTCTTCAGAACCTTAACCCAAGGCCTTCTTATTAAATTCGATGGTGAGGGGGACTTCACTTGTCTGAGAGATTTTGCCCGGAGAAGTAATGATTCTATAGAGATATTTGAAATCATTATCATCTCGTTTTCGTTTCTCTTATTCATTTCGTGTGAACTCTCGAGTTGTTTGATATTTTGGGCGTAGCCTTTGAGAATGCTACGCTGGATCTTATTTATGTGATGCAAATAAGGTTCTCAGCCTCCTGGAAATGAAAGTATGGTATTAGTATATCCTCTAATTTGCCAAGAAATTTAGTTGAATCAGTTCCAACGAAAAAAATTTCATACCTTGATTGCATAATCAGCTCGTCCGGAACTTTCTTCCCCAATTATTTCAAACTCTGGTCTCATACTGAATTCCTTCTTCGTGACGTCTCCTGCAATATGAAGACATATTCATTGTGCATAGATTCCAAGCTATCCCCAACCAAACCAATGACTTGTAATGCTTCATCTTGAACAGATCATTCTCTACACAATGCTCAAAGTGCTTGTAAGTCTTGAGTTTCGTGGGTTTGTAAAGGAAATATCGGGATAGTTTCTGCCACTAGAATCAAACCGTATTTTGCTAATACCTCATTCAAATTCTTGTATGCACTTCAGCTTTTCTTTGAGGGCCTGGACCTCTTTTACAAGTCTCATAGCCAGTTCTATTTCAACTCACATTCTCGAAACTTTTGTTCAGTCATGTCGAGAAGGTCCTGTCCGGTAATTTTTGCGTTGCAGAATATTGCAAAGTTCATCCCCATTGAGCTTGAAGTTCTGTTCTTTCAGGTGAAGGATAAGGGTCCAGTTCTCAACCAAATAAGACTCATGTTCCGCTTCAACTGATGTCATAGCGAATATTTATACGTCGCATATGGGCAGATTGGATAAAATTACTTTATTGCCTCATTGGTCCTTTTGTGTAATACTAAACTGATCAGCAAACACAAGATTTCATATCAGGTGAGTTATAGATCAATCAAAAATTTTTTTTTGAACTTGCCAATGTTAAAAAAAAAATATTTTAAAATAAAAACCGTGTTTTAACCCATCTGACATAGTCACAATCCATCTGAATTAGGGTATATCAGTTTGTAAGTTGTATGAATATTTAGTGCTGGAGATTTTTTTTATTTCTTTTGGCTAGTTTTCTATTTCTTTTCTTTTTTTTTTCTTTTTAGGTCTAAGAATTTTTTTAAAAAAATATTGTTCTAAATTCTTCTTTTTTTGTTTATATAGGTTCATTTGAGAAGACTTATTATAAAGATATTTTGAAAGTGAATTTTTGAAAAGAGTTTGGGTGGTTATCTCTATTTTTTTGTTGTAAGTGTTGAATGTTCATAATGTTTTATTTTTTTTATTATACTTTAAATTTAAAGTATTATAAATACTGTAATAGATTAAATTTATAATTTAAAATCAATTTTTAAGTTTTAACTTGTAGACTCATATACTATTTGTGTACTTTTTAAAATTAGAAATTAAGATTAAAAAGAAGCGAATGTAAAAAAAAACATTTTATTAGAGTGACTTAGCGTTATCACATGATGTTACACTGATCTACATATCATAAATCTGGCCAAAATTATGTTAATTCCGGCCAAAATTAAAATCGTATCAAAATCGTATTTTTTTTAATCACACATCTTTATGGATATCATGCAACGTATCCTTAACTTTGCTATGCCTGCATAATGCAAAAATTCAGCATATTTAGGTGATGAAACAAATCCGCCGATATGGGATAAAAAAATAGTGTTACGTTCCGAAGTGAAATAAAAAGTCATTTTTGTGAAATTGCTGAGCATATCGGGTGATTAGCGTCATTGCATCATTACAAGTGATTTTTAACAAGAAATCAATGCTTTATTATTTATGAAATAAAAAATGTTGCCGGAAACAGCAACAGTTTACAAAAAATAAAATTTGCGCGTTACATGATGCGAATAGAAATATAAAAAATTCTAACTACTCTTTAGGGGGAGAAAATTCGAATGTGGATAACATCTTCATTAGACGTCTCATTAAAATAAGAAAAATCCTGTCTTCTGTCCGTATAGGTCTCTTCAAGATAAATTTGACGAAGGTCGTGATTAATTGGCCCCAATTTCTTTCTTACTTTATTTTCGAGATCAAAGAGACTTTTTTATCCTTGGAAATCTCAATCGTGAAAATTATATTTATATTTCCTGTATTTATATGGTAAAGATAGCGAAATTATAAAATTTAATATGTTAAAAGGTAATATAAATCATATTTTTGAAAAAAAAGATGATTTACTTAGGAATATATGAAGAATGACAAGATGGAAACAAGATAATTTAATTGAAAATTGGCTTATTAATTCTACTTTTTTTAAAACATATTATTTAAGTTCTTTGAAACGAATTAGTTGATTATGCTTTAAACCTTTATAAATATAGAAACATATATTATTTTAAAGATAATTATATTTTTTGTAACAAATGTTAATTTAATTTAATCGACCAATAAAATGAGCATTATAAATATATTTTAAGTATCCGAGCACATATTATGTTACAATCAGCCCCTTTCTATAGCGAATTTTGATATAACGAATCTTTAATGTGGTACGCATTTAATCATGTGAAAAAAAAAATTGTTGCACCGAATTTTACTAATAAAATGCAGTATAACGTTGAATGAAGAAAAACTTATAAATTCTTTTATAACGAATTTCTTTTAAACGAATTTTTTTTTATATATAACAAAGATTTTTGCAAGATAAATTTTAATATAAAGGCAGTTTGGTACTGGTTTTATGGATTTTTTTCAAAATAAGCAATTTTACCACTTTTGATTCATTTTATCAAAAGATGGATGATTTATGTTTCGAAGTTTCCTTTGCCACGTTCTACAAATGTTTTGATTTTCCTCTATCTTACTACATTATACCAAATTCTTCCGCTATACCGAATAATTCATTATAGCATTAACGAATTTTCTCATAACGAAGGACTGATCAGCCCGGACGCCTACTTTGTTATATCAAGGGCCGACTATATTATTATTCAGTCCTTTTTCAAAGTGCTGAAAGTTATTATGACTGTAGTCGAACAAAGGAACTGTAATAAACAGTTAAAAAGATATGAATCTGCTGCTGAATAGAGTTTCATGGGTAATCAAGACTAACTGAGCAAATATGATCTAAGGGAGAAGTCTGAGCCCAGGCTTTCTAAAGAATCAAGGTTAAATAAACAAGTAAAATCCAAAGGAGAGGTCAAAGCCCAGATGATCATATCAGCCTGGAAGGATCAGCTTAGGCTGATAGGTGGCTTATTATGACGAATAATGATGTCCAAGCCGCGGCAAAGGAAATTCACCGAAAACTTATTATTAGGGCTGAAAGGTATTTATTGCGCCAAAAGTTATACAATAATAGTTAGGAAGCTAAGCTCTAGCTGCCTCTATAAAAAATTTTTCAGAAAAATGATTACGTGTCTGAGTTTCTTCGGAATGAAAACTAGAAAAATGATCATTTATCGGAGTTTTTTCCAGAATTTTTTATAGGGGCTGAATAGAGCTTTCTAAAGAATCAAGACTAACTGATAAAATACAGTTTAAGGGACCAGCCTGGAAAGCCTCAGACATTCTGTTTGGATCAGGGAAATGCCCATGTAACTCATTATTAGTCTGAAAGGTATTTAATAGGGCCGAAAAGTTATGTATTTTCGGTAAGAAATTTTCTTTCTTTTTAATTTTCAATTAAGAATTCTACTTTATTAAAAAAAAATGAATCCTCGCTATTTTTATACTTTTCTTTTAGCAATCATTCTTTTATCGACTGCACAAGCTGCTTCCGTATCAGTAACAAATAAAACGGGAAAATTATTGAAACTTCACTGCGCTTCTGGAAGTGATAATATTGGTACAAAAATTTTAAAAAATGGAGAGTCCATGTCGTGGTCTTTCGGGTATAACATTTTCACCTTATTCTACTGTGATGCATCTCAAGATGGCATCAAAAAACACTGGGATGTCTTTGACTATGAATTAGTTAATAATTATAGTAAAAAGAGAAAACTTAGTTGGGTTGTAACCAGGTTTGGCAAGAAACTTATAACAAAAATAGTTTGATTGGGCTAAAAATTTCCAGAAATTTTTATTATCTATTCGTTTAAATAATTTCAAATATTATTATTTATCTTTATGTTAGTTGTTGTTTTATGATATAAATCAATTGTAAGTTGAAAAACGTGTAATAGTTTAGAAATTCTGTAGATTTTTTATTTCTGTTCATTTAGATAATTACAGATTGTTATTTCCGTGCTTCATATAAATAATAATTAAAAATTTCCCAATTTGGTTAATCTAAAACAATATTTTGAATGTGTCATTTAATTGAATAATTTTTCTTTCTTCGTTTAAAATTTGAATAATTTGAATGGTAACTTTCATTATAATTATCTAAAACTAAATTTGTATTTTGTATTTCAACATAATTCTCTTCTCTTCGTCTTTTGTAACTTTCTCTATCGCTATCATCATCATTTATCGCGGTTTTCAAATGGTGCGATCTTCAAAATAGCAAAATAAAAAAAAAAATCGAATTTCAAATTTGTGCAAAATAAACATCTTGACCAATCATAATTTTAATTTTTGATTACGTGACAACGAACGAAAAATTGCAAGACTTTCTTTAGAAAGATAAAAAGCAAATAACTAACACATTTTCTTCTATTTAAAAATTCAAATCTAGATACTTAAAAGATGTTTAAATTAGTTTATTGATCTTTATTGATTAAATATTAATAAAATATTAAAATATTACACTTCTTAATTGGGAATAAAAATAAAGTATTTATTTTAAAAGTTAAAGTTAAAGACTTAACTTCAACTCATAAAACTATAAACTAAAGGAAACTAGAGTACTCACATAGAGTTCGTGAAAATTTTTGGAAATTCGTTTAGTAAGAGCACTTTTTTTTGTAAATTCGAAGCTTTACACTTACAAAAATTAGACTTTAGTAAATAGATTGTAACTGTAAAAGGAATTCGAATTTGAGAATTTTATATTATGACACCACATGATTGAAGATCGCACCATTTTGAAAACGGCGATCAATATCACGTATTTCCATATCCTCATGAAACCATTTTTTTTTTCTTTCCAATAATATAATTCTTTCTTTCTTCTTTTTTTTAGTAAAAATTTCTTCTTTCCTACCTATTTCTGTGGTAAATTTCTTATTTTTATTTTTATTTTTATAATGAAGACAGAAGCCGGGATTACAGGCAACAAAAACGAAACTAAACTAGACGTATGCGAGTTAATCCAACCCCCCAACTTTGAAAGGAGTCGTCCCGCCTAATATTAAAACCCTGAACCCCCCTCCGTAGTAACTTTTTCTACATCTATTTTATTAACCTTCCTGTGATAATAAATCACGTGACTTCGGATAAAAGTTTAGCCACCAGTTTCACAATAAATTTTATGGAATTTTGTGTTACACAAGGGTTAAACAAATTTTATAATTCAGGCCAAACATATAGTGCCGGCCAGAATTATCTGTTCGCGGTCCTGAAAAAAAGACCGCGGTCCCGGTCCTACAAAGTCTTGGGACTGATTGATCTAAGACTGAGCATCTTTACGGTCAAGAACTATTTGTTGTCCGCAGACTGGAGCTGAAATCCCAGTTACGTTTGAAAAAGTTGTAACCAGGGTTGTGATTTCGGTATAATCTGGTCATAAAAAAAATATTTCAGATTGTCTGGATAAAATGTTATAACTCGAGGTTCATCCTAATTGTCAAGAAAATAGTAATTTACTTTACGACTAAGTTAATTATCAATGCGAAAATTTCATTAACAGTCGACACTAAAGCATAATTTTGACGATGTTGTAGAACTCGAGAAGCTGATTTAACCAAAGTATCTGTTCTTGTGATAGGATTTCAGCCGGAAATCTTTTTTCACCAAAAAAATCTGGACATGAAAAAATTCTCGTGACTAGAATTTTTTGTTGGAAATAATCAAACTTTTGGTCGTCCAAATTATTATGTGGAGAAAACAAAGGATAAATTCTAACGAAAGGGTAAATAACGAAGGGAAGACGTAAAAAGAAAAGAAGAGTCAAAATCGGCACGTGCATCGACTCTGCAAATATCAAAATTGAGGAAATTTAAACGATAATATCATGTTGTTATGTATACTGTACGCTTTTTCAACAGAATAATATTTCGGTAGTATATCGATAGTTTATTTTTATTATTTTACTTATAGTATATTCTCATATCTGTTAATATTGTAATTTGTTATGCCTTATTATTCTGTATTATGAGACTTCCTAATAAAATGTAACAAAAGAATCACATTGAATGATTATTACTTAAATTCAATGCTTATAAATTAGGAGACTTTTTTCGTTTTCTTTACTGATTTCAAAAAAAAAAAATTGGAAAGAATGTACTTTGCATTTTTTTTTTACTTTCAAGTAAATTAATAAATTAGTAAATTAGTAATTTAGTGATTTATCATATTTAAGTAATTAATATTGTAAATGTAATATTTATATAATAAACTGTTTGTTATAGATAAAAGCGGATTTTAAAGAAGTTTATAAACTTTAAGAAAATTTATGCCCATTTACAAAAATTTTTTTAGATAAAGTTTGAACTTTGTTGAAATACTCCAGAATATATCGTAAATCTAATTAATATTATATATTTATTAAAGAATTTTTCCATCATTTTTTTATTATTATATCTTTTTACGGAAAGGGTCAAATTAGTAGACCTACAGATTACAGTACAAGAAGAAAATAAAATAGAATGCACATGAAATTCATTAAAATGCAGTTCCTTCTTGACACCTATATAATTTTTTAGATTTCAAAAATAGTATTTCTTCGAGCGCTTTCTAAACTTCGTAGATTCTTATTTATATGAAATATTTTTTTTTTTATATTTATCAGTTGAAAAAAAGAAGTATTTTAATACGAGAAAGAAAAATATAAAATATAAGGAGTATGAACATATGAACATAAATTTATAAATTTATATAGCACTCTAATAAACTATAATTTTTAAATTCCCTAAATAAATGTTCTACCTTGAACGTTCATATTTAGTAAGTAAATTCTATAAAATATCTTAAAATTTAGATTTTAGACTTTGTTAATTTCTGAGGATTTTATGGGAGAATTTCATGTACTAATGCAATAATGTATAGTTGTATACTTTTTTAGCATCATCTCTTGATCTAAAATGCATATCTATTTATTGGAAGTTATACACTCGTTTTATTATTTTTTTCTCTACAAAACAAAGTTAGACTCCAAAGTTTGTAAAATTTCATTTGGGATCGAGCGATGAGCGTGAAAGTCGTAAAAGGTGTTCAAACAACTCATTTTTACATTTATCCAAATACGAGACAATCCAAAACAATCAATTTCAAAATTTTAGAAGTATTTTTTATATTGTAAATATTTAAATATTCAAACTTTATTTAACAATATGATGGATAATATATAATAAAAAATAATAAAAATTGAATTATTTAAATTACAAACCTAGAAATATCATGAACTAAGTGTTTAAATAATTCATAATATATATATATATAATAAAAATAATGTTATAATATTGTATATAATTTCCGAAAGTGTTAAATTTAGATATCTAAAAATATATGTGTATATTTTTTTCTGATTAATAATCTGTAAAATCATCAGTAAAAGTCGATTAATTTAATAATACATCACCTTTGGTGGCATTTTTTGGTTTAGGTAAATCTTTAAAAGTATAAACCTTACTATTATTATAAGTTAATTCAGTAATATTAGGGTTTATATCAATATTTACATCTTTCCAATTATCGTTATTTTCATGAATTGATTTATTAATATCTTCGATTTTGTTCCAAAGTGTCTGAATATCAGGTCTTTTTTCCGGATTTGCATCCCAACATTCTTCCATTAATTTTTTAAATATTTCAGGAGTTCCTGGTAATATTTTCGGTCTTGTCCCATTAACAATATTTAATGCAAGATCTTGATCATTATTATTATTAAGAAATGGTGGTTGTTCTGATAAAACTTCCCACATAAGTATTGCAACAGAATAAATATCGGATTTAAAACTGTATTCACTTTTATAAATAACTTCAGGTGCCATGTAAGAAAGATTTCCATATACACTATTTAATGGTTTATTAGCAGGTCCATAAAATTCAACATCACTAATATACCAATCATTCTTATTTTTTAAATATAATACATTTCCTGAGTGTAAATTTTTATGAACTGAATTTTCCTCATGAACTCTAGAAAGTGCTTTAACAATTTCAAAAATAATTTGAATTTTCGTTTTCCATGTAATTTGATTACGATTTTTTTGTAAATATCTCCTTAAATCCGTATCCATATAATTCATGACGAGCATAAATTTGTCATCAGTTGGATCTTTTGTAAAACCATAACATTGGACAATACTTCCCCATTTATTACTAATATACAAAGCCTACATATATGGAAAATATTATATGTTAAAGTTAATATTACATTTAAAAAAAAATACTTTTCATAAAGTTATAATTACCTCTTCAAGCCAAGTTTTATTATCACCTTCAATAGTTTCTAATCTTTTAAGTGCTACTTTACTAGTTCCAGACCTTTTCAATTTTTTTTCTTCAAGATCCCATTCTTTATAACATCCATCTTCCCAATCAGCTGTATAAATATCAGAATAACCACCTTTAACCAAAAATTTGATATTTTTAAGTCTATCATATGGAATCCATTCAAATATCATATATGGAATTAATGATTCTTGTTGACATTTTTGTATTAAAGAATCAATAATTTTATTTTCAGATGTCCAATTTGAAAATTCGGATTTTAAATATTTTCTAACACAATTTTCACAATATAATGTTGCTAAACATTTTTCTTTACAATTCTCACAATCTCTTTTGATTCCATCATTCTTAACAACTTTAAAATAATCATAATCTCCATCAAACCTTTTTATCACTTCTAATTTTTCTTCTTTACTAAGTGTTTCATCATTATTAACAAATTCTTTTATTTCTTTAAATCTTTTATGCATATCATCATTATTTATTAATGCGTATGCTTTATCATATGCAGCATTAACAGCTTCTCTACGAATATTGGCCATGTTTTTTTTTCTTGGGTTTTAGGTTTTTTTTTGAAGAATTCGTTCAAAAAAAAAAGGGAACGTAAAAAAAAGGAATATATATATATATATATATATTTTTAAAAAAAAAAAATAATAATAATGGTTACTCGCAACGAATCAAAATTATCTTTAAGGTACTTTATTGTTTTTTAAAAAAGGAAAGAATTATTGATAATGGATCTCATTCATCCTCCAATTAAAATTTTATTATACAAAGAACTGAGATATTTGATAAGATTTTATTATAATCTTTGTAATCTTATAAATCAGCAAATAAAATTTTTGTTTCGTGTCGATTAAAAATTTCATTTTTAAATATTGTTCTTTATTTTACCCCCTTGTATCCCTTATGTAATCTGCAATCAAATAAAATCATTTTCCTGTTTCCCATTATTTAGTTAGTCTGGTTACCTTAAATTGATATCCATTTAAAAAACCCCTGACTTGTGAAACAGGATTCGGTTTGAAAAATAATTTACTATACCATATTAGGTAATGATTCAACAAATTGGGAAACAAAAGATGATCCTTATATGTCGTAAATATTATAAAAAAAAAAAACTTTGTTTCGGCCGAAATAAATGATATTTTTGTCATTCAAGTGTAATTTTATCCGTTCATTATGTGGATTGCTGAATTTAGGTTTATGTTTTGTATTAATTACTTTTTAAAAATTAAAAAAAAAAATTTCGTACATATTTAATTTATTTAATTCGATTAAAATTATACCAAAAGTATCATTCAGATTTCGGAGATTCGGAATTGTTATAACCGTGTTTAGAAATTCGGAAATGTTATAATTTTTGTATGATAAAAATTACTCCGATAATCCGATTTTTCGTAATTTTCGCAAAATTTGATGTTGAATATCGTTAAACTAGATTATTTGGATTTGTTGGTGCTGTTTATTTTTTATCAAATCACGGGGATTACCGATAATATCATTTTGACAATAAGGCAGTCTACAAATCTCATTATGGGAAATGGTTTCCTTTATAGGAATTAACCCAAAATTAAAATAAATAATTCCTACATTGTTTGTATGAAAACCCCGTTTTAACTTGATTTTCCGAATCCGTCTCCGATCCTAAATCTATATCAAATAATGTGATGGAAAACCAATGAATTTTTTTGCAATGTAAAAATCAATGATTCTTTTTTTTTAGGATAATGCTGAAAGAGAAGAATTTATATAATTAATCTCAGCAGGTATTTTTGTAATTACGTTCTTTATGATTTTATGATGAAATCAAATTTAATTTTTTGTTATTTTTTTTGCGAAACAAATTACAAATACGCAGAAGGTTTATTTTAATCAACGATTAATCGGCAAATTTGTTCTACCTATACCAAAATAACCTACCTAAAGCACCTTTGCCGTCAATTCTGACCGACTATTTAAAAAAGAAAATTTTGCAAAAAATTTAGGTAACAATTAATTTTAATTATTTAATTGATCTTTTTTAATTGACCTATTTTATTTTATTTTATTTTCTAAATTTATTATTATTAAAATTTGACAAATATTCAGATATTCTATAATTATAAATTTTAACGTGATATAATATTAGTGAACTATGGTTTGTTTACAGCTGATTTCATAATGTACGGGACACTTGGCAAAATTTAAAGAACTCGGAAATATTCGGTAAAAGTTCAAAATAAGATAAAATTATACCACCATTCTCGGAATAGTACTCCAAAATTAGCGTATAATTTTTATTTTATATCAAGCTTTACCGAATACTTCCGAGTTCTTTAAAATTTGCTAAGTGTCTCGCACATTATGAAATCAGTTGTAACGTCTTATTTTGTATTTTGGGTAGTTCGGCCACTGACTGGGCGGTATGGATTTGTTAGTACGGAATTCGTGATCGAGCTAGTCTGACTTGGAAATTATCAGAAGATAAAGCAGCCGGTGTTATTTTATTATTAACAAGTTGTCTTAGTCATGACAGGAAGTTCTAACTTCTAAATAGTTCCATAAAATTAGAAATAGGAATAATAAGACGACAAAAAAAAATTGGTTCATCTGAGTGGAAAATCCATCAACCAATAAAAATACTCCACAATATATCACATGATAAATTAATATAAGTGCTTAAATTTAATTTTATAATCAAAAATAAAAAAAACCAAAAATCGAAAATTTGAAGAAACTCCTTCCGTTTTCCGTCATTTTTATTAAAAATCCGCAGTAAATAAATAAAATAATTTTTTTTTCACATACTTTTTATTAAATAAAAAGTGAGGATTGTATGTTCTGTATATTAGGTAGGATTCTACTTCTTTTCAATTCAATTTTTTTTTGCTCTCAAGTTTTCAGAAAGTTAGAAGGAAAAGTTATTTCCACATGATGATTTTCTTTCATGGTTAAATACATTATTGACTGATATTTATTACAGTATTAAGTTTTAGATAGCGAATAATTAGCTTATAACTTTATAAACATATAATATATGGCAAACCTAAAAATGCTCATCTATGTATCTAAGTTATGGCTTTAAAATGAATACATTATATTTTAGTTCAAAAGGTTTCCAAATTATTTAATTCTAACAAGAAGAATTCACGTGCGTTAAAATAAAAATGATCGGCAAATAATCGGTCGAATTTTTTATAGAATTCTCATCCACATTACAATCATTACATGGTAGATCAGAAATACGTAATTATGCATAAGCATTGTTCTTACTTCAATATATCATTGACTGATATAAATTATAAACATATAATATATACCATAAATAACCTATAAAAATGCTCTGTCTATGTATCTAATTTATGACTTTGGAATGATTACATTCCTCAATTTTCTTAACAATTGTGTTATATCAAGTGCGTTTAAACTGAAAATGATCGACAAATAATCGGTTGTAAAAAATTCAGCCCACATTACGGCTGATCAGCAATACATAATTATGCATAAGTATTGTTCTTCTATTTATTAAAGCATCGGGCGAAATTGTTTTCTTACTACTACTACTGAAATTTTTTTAATTTCCGCCTTTTATATGTATTTATTTTAGTAGAAAAACTCTCAATGGATTCCTTTATCAAAAGCGTTAAAAAGCTGATTAAGTCATGTGATTGTGATTACGAATGTAACGCAATACGGTTTAAACAAAATTTTAAAAATTGGACGAGTGGTAATAATGGTATTAATAAATTTATTCAAAATACTCAGCTATCAGATCATAATGAATATATGGTAAGAAATGCATTAGAATGGATACCTTATGAAAGACTTTATGATATTAAATATATTGCAGCAGATGATGAATTTGGCAAAGTGTACAGAGCAAATTGGACTGATGGACACCTGAATAAATGGAATGATGAAAAACAAAATTGGGAAAGAGGAGGTCAAAATATGTTTATAAATCTGAAAATTTTAAATAACGTAGCAAGTATTACATCAAGATATATAGATAAGGTATAATAGATTTATCAAAAGTTTCATTTTTTTTTTTGTGAATTATAATATAAATTAATCACGCACATTGTACTATGCCATTTTGTGAAAAAAAAAATTGCCAGTTGATTAAAACAAATAGATAATTTTACTAATATTTCTATTTTAATATATTGTAGATTGCAGTATCTCATAAAGTTTATGGAATAACTCAAGATCCAGAAACCAAGAACTATATGGTAGTTTTGAATGATATATGTGAAAAATGTAATAATGTGTGTAATTCAATACATTTTCAAC